CAGAGATACAGTTTGGGAGATCCCCTGGGAGGTGGGCCATCTTATAGCTGCTGAAACTCAAACACTGAAAGGCCAAGTAACAGAACAGCATCAGTGGGAAAAAAGATCAGCTCCCTGACAATAAATGTATTTATTTGTAAATGCCAACTGAAACATGTGTATAAACGCCTGTGGGTTTCTTCCTCTACAGTGTTCAACTTCATGTGGGAATGGCATTCAGACACGGCAGGATTTCTGCCTCAACCCGCTAACCCGTAAGCACGTGAACCCCATCTTCTGCAGGCGCTTCCCCAAGGCCATCGTGGTTCGTGGCTGCTCCGCAGGGCCCTGTCCTGAGCAGGCAGTGGGGACTGGGTCCCGTGGAGCAGGGCTGCAGACAGTGACACCAGCCACGCTGACGACAGCTGCAACCACCAAAGAGGCGAGATACAAGAACCTGGATCTTCCTCCATCTGCTGGGCCTCAGGAACAGACAGAGACCAGTGGAGGTGAGGAGGAGAATGCCAAAAGGTAGAGATAGGTAGAGCTGGGTGCTTACTGCATGCGGCTGGGTGGTGGTGACCCCACTGCCACACAGAGACAGGAGCGTGGGAGGGATTACTGCTGGTTAGCAGGGACAACATGGTGTTCCTTCCAGTGTGCGTGAGCTGTCCGTGTTGTCTGAGCTAGGAACAATGACTCCCTTCCTTGGGCTTCCAAAGCTCTACTGACCCGTGGGACTCCTCGGGGCAGGAGCTAATTGTTCCTGTGCTTTACCCAGACGGTGTGCACTCGTCTGCTCATTGTGCTGTGAAGGGAATGGGGGCTGTTCTTCAGCAGCTGTAGTTCCTTCTGGATGTGTTTCTCATCTGCCTCTCCTGTACAGGTGTCTGTGGAAAGCTCTTTCTTAATGCCTCCGGGGTCATCAACATGACAGGTGTAGAGAGCAGTGACTGCACCGTGGCCATCGGACGTCCTCTCAGGGAGGAGATAACAGTCAGCGTCCTGGCGAGCTCCCTCAACTGCAGTGCAGGTGCTGCCCGGGGCGTGCTGGGGTCAAGCCTGGCCCTTGGGGAGATCTGCACCTCTTTTGCCCGTGTGCTTTTGGTGCCCTGAAACGTTCTTGCTGCCTGGGAGCCTGTGTAATCTTTGAAACCATTTTGCAAGTTTTTCTGTCCCGCCAAGTGTTTGCCAGAGGGGACTAAATGAAGATGATGCCTTTCCTCCCTCTACATAATGGTTTCTTACCTGGTTTGCTGATATGAGATGAAAAGAGTTTATGGGGTTAAAGGAGCTGCTTGGTTGGGCCTGTTATAAACTCTCTCCATAATGTACCCTCTTGCTGGAATCAGTACAGTTAGATTAGTTAACTGAACTGTTCTCATGACAGATTTTGATAAGATAGGGACAAGATGCAGAATTTACTTGATTCCAGACCTATGTAAGATAGGTTGCAGCCTTTTACTTCAAGTGTTTCTAGTCCCTGTGCTCATCCGTTCCAGGTGAGGTAGTGCTGTTTTCTGGGCGAATGATGTGGCGGACAGGCTGCAGGAAGCTCCCTTTGTCACTGATAAATTCCAGAACGAATACACTGATTGTGAAACAGCGTGTTTTGCTGCCAGGAAATGGGGTCATTCTTCAGTACAACAGCAGAACTGCAACTAAAAAATATTACCAAGGTACCTTATTGAAAGCTTTGCGATTGCTTTAGATTAAGGCACACATGATAGGGCCTGAGGAGTTCCACAGGTCACGGTTGCTTATGGAAATCTATGGAAACCTTGCATAGTTTTTAGCCCCTGCTTGAGGAGTGTTGGAATTAATATTACTTGTGCACTACCCCTCTGTTTTAAAGGCAAGCCCTGGGCAGGTGTTCGCTAATGCTTGGAGGTTCCCAGATGAAAATCCTTAGAGAAACTTTTCTGCCTGTGTTTAATTTAAATGATTTCTTTCTTGGAGGTGGCTGAACACTTGTCTAAATCATTTTCTTTTCTGCTGCCTTTCCCCCTCTCAGACTGTGACAAGCAGCTCTTTGGTCCCCAAGGTGAAATAGTGAATCCTGTGCGATTGCCTGATCAAAGGCCAGAAGTAGTGTGTCGGACCTTCATCAATGTGGCTCCTCGGCATCGCATAGCTATCCGCGCTCTATATATTGGCCTGGGCAGCGAGGGCAACCAGACACATTTTAATTACATCCTGGTGAGTCAGACACCTAAAGGGGGTAGTTTGGGTGGGTGCGGACCCATCTCCTCATTAGACATTTCCATCCAGTTGTGAAGTTCAGTCACGAATCCGAGAGGGTCAGACTCTGATCTCTGTTATGGAAAGGCGGGTGTGAACGAGCACTGCTGATGTCTGCTATATTTCTTTTAACATTTGTATAGGGCAGCTTTTCCCCTGAGTGGCCCATTGGCAAGTCCCCAGCATTTTGTGGGTGCTTCACTTGTAGGCTGCTGTGATATGATCGTTCGTTTTTTCTTTATGCAGGTCCGTGATGTAAGCACTATGAAGACGATGGTGTTCCATGGGAAACAACAATTCTTCTGGCAATCAACAGGAAGCCAAGCTGAAATTGAATTTCATGAAAATGTTAAGGATCCCCAAACCAGTTTCTGGGCTGAATATCATGCTATTGAGCCCAAATAAAAAGAGCCAGGGCCACTGCACTGAGAAAGGCCGTGGTCCAGTTAGTCACTGCTGCCTGTTCACTGCTCGAGGTCACATGAGTCATTTCATCTTTTTGCAACTGCGTCCCCATCTATTGAGTAAGGAGAATAATATCTACTGATTCCTTTGGAATCTCAGTTACTATTTATAAAGGTTGTGCAAAAGACAAGCAACTACCAAATATTTAGCAAATAGTCCACTTATGGATTTTCTGTCTGTGTTGATTGATATTAGTGCAGTTTACGTGTCTGCAGTTAGTGACTTGGATGCTGAAGTCTCAAGGTCCTGCTTCTGTAATATGCTGCGAATTTTTAGGATAATCACTTAATTTCTCGGTGGCTCGGTGTCCCATTACAAACCTCTGTACATGTATAGCTGCGATCAGGGTTTAGCCATGAAGTTCACTCTTCTGCAGGGTAAACGCCCCTTAAAACTGAGGCGCATTGATTTTCTGGAATGTTGTAAAGAAGGCAGAGATGTGTACGAGGACGAGCTGCTAGCAGAAGACAACTAGAGATGTGTGAGGGCAAGAGAGTTTCTTTGCCTGGGAGGGCAGTGCAACACTGGGACAGGTCACTCAGAAAGCTTGAATGATTTCAGGAGTTGGCTAGACTGACGCACTACTGACCTGGTCAAGTCCTGGTGACAGTTGACTTTATGTGGGAGGACTAAATGACATCCCTCCCCAGCCACCTCTTCTGTGGCTCTACTATTATGTATCTGACAGTGATACCAGCACTTCTTTTCTATGAGAAAATAGAAGAATTCTGTCTCTTACTGATGGGTTTGGTGCTAAGACACATGTATTCAGATAAGAACAGTAGCTGTGCTATTAATCTGCTTGTATCTTCATCTCACAGGAACTGTGCAATGAGAGACTCTTGAGACTGCATGATACAAGTTGTAGCAGGAAGAGCTATTTTAGAGCAGTGACAAATACTCAAGTTTGATTTAAATACATTTTTCAGGTTGTTTTTATTTAATATCTTGAGCATTTAATATCTTGAACATTGGACTGTGCTTTGGTCCAAATTTGTCATCCTCCTCAAAATCACAATCTACTGCTCAAGGGGTCTTTTCCGCACCTGGAGCCTGGCTGCACACATCTGCCCATGCTCTTCACGCTGGATGCGATAAACGGTTCTGCCTGAGCAGTTTTAACCCCGCTTCTGCTTTCTTTTGGTGGAATTTTCTGACATATTTCTAAAACTGCAAAATCTTATTTTCTTCTGTCTTCTTACTAGTTGTTTTTGCTAGTTAAGCCTGGAGTTTTTTGCTTGCCAGCCTCCAGATTTATGTTCCGTTCCTGGAAGAGCTCAAAAGTAGATTCTTGAAGCGAGATCCTCGAGGAGCTGGCTATATCAGCTGTCCCGCTGCAGTGCGTGGGTGATGCAGGCACTGGGCCTTCGTTTCCTGTCGAACAGGAGATGTTAACGAGAAGACATCGTTTTCTTGATCCTTTTTTGTAACCTTTTAGCAGATGGGATCTGTCTTCCCGCTCTGCTCTGGATCCCAAGTCTCACTGCTATTTATTGTTCCAGATCAACTGTGCGGAGCCCCTGGTCTGCAGAGATGGGCTCTGGTTGCTGACTCTGTGCTCCATGTTCATTTGCAAAAAATGCAACTGTTGTCTGTGTAATTTAAGAGAATTAAGGCTGTTTCCCTGTACGGTTTGTTTGGATACCAAGAGGTTGCCAAGTGCGACAATGCGCCTGGACGCGGTGCTGTGCAGCCTGCTGTAGGTGACCCTGCTTCAGCAGGGGTTGGACTGGGTGACCCACAGAGGTCCCTTCCAACCCCGACCATGCTGTGATTCTGTGATCTCTGACTTGCAAAGTCCTACTTCTACTCCCATTTTCTAGGGAGAAAACCTGATTCTGTTCAGATTAAGGGCAGCATTTCCATCTTACCTGGAGGGCAGAATTTTCTAACGCTGTTAAATTCACGTTCATGCAAAAATTCACGTTTCTCTTCCTTCCGAGCTCACGCTGGCCGCCTGGATAACAGCTGGATAACGGGGTGTCAGCCCGGGGAAGCGGGACCCGGAGATCCTGTGCACCCCAGAGCCCGTTGTGGCGTGCATGCCTGCGCGGCTGCTTATGAATATGTACACACGGGCTCTGCCCACCAGCCGATGCATGAGAGTGACATCAAAGCCCTGCCTGCTGGAGGAGGGGACCCACAATGCAATACGCAGGCAGACGTGGAGGCAGCTCGCAGGGCCGCTGGCATCGCTGCGGCGGGCCGAGGCCCCCATTGTCAGCCCTGGGGGGCCC